GAAGCACCCGTCCTCTTTGATGTCTTAAGTCCCCAAATCTCTCATTCTGAGCTCTTTCAAGAGCTTTAGCATGATTAATAACCTCTTGGAATGATGAAAAATTCAATACTATCATCATCTCTTTCAATTTAGGGCGTAAACCCTCCACAAACCAATCACAAGCATCTTTTTCAGTAGGCACAAGCTCAGATGCAAACCGACTCAGCTTGTTGAACTCATATTCATACTCATATACAGAGCGGTTCATTTGTTTCAAGTTCATAAACTCCTGCTTCATTTGTTGAATGAATTGATCTCCAATATACTTGTTCTTAAATTCTTCTAAAAACAAAGACCAAGTCAACTAGTCACTTGACATCCTCATGGTGACGTTCTTCTAACATGATTTTCTAATCATTTAACCAAAGATCCGCCGCAACCGGACCTTTATCATATTCTCCCTTAAATTTGGGAGCTCCCAAACTTCTCAACTCTTTTGCTACATTCATTCTTTGAGTTGGTGGGGTAGGAGGTTGAAGACGCGTCAGAATAGCGTCCAACGTCCTAAAGAAAGTGTCTTGGTCTTGTATAGGTACTCCCTGAGATGCATGTCCTTCACCTTGCCTGGCCAGGGTAGGTGAATTACTACTTTCAGTAGGCCTATCGTCTCCCGCTTCACCTCGGAACTACTATGTTCGGACATCTAATAAGAATAAACATATCATTCTATTAGCAAAACAGCATACTCATACTATACCATATCAGAAGTTCTCACTATATGTTGGCATGTATTCCATTTAAAGACTCTATAGACTCTGGGTTATGCCTAGAATCAGCTAAATCATAGCTCTGATACTATTAAATGTAACACCCTTAACCCATACCTGACCCGAATACGAGTCCAGGATGTCACATTGACTATCAAAAACAATATTCTTAAAAAAATGATAAAACATTTGGACTTATATAACTAAAATACGATAATATAATAGGTTAATACAAGTTCATCAAAATACTCAGAGCATTCACAACTTGACCATTTGATTACATGCTAACATTCATTTATATAACAAAATGACCTACTGATTAAGTTGCTTCTGATATGATAGTTGCAAGAGGAATGTTGTCCATCTGCTTAACTTGTCTCGTCTACTTTCTCGGATCCTACGTGTGAAACACTCACACGCTAAGTCATCGACTTAGTGAGGTAAAATAATAATAACAATGAATTGTAATGGAAATTCCATAATGAGATGAAATGAAATGAATTCATATACTTAATCAATGCAGTTATATCACCATGTTCCTTACCTATAAGCATATTACATTAACATTCATGAATTCGTATTAATAAGTTTATTGGCCCATGATACCATACTAAGAACCTAAGGTATGTGAGTACTGTGAGGTTGTGCACTATGCTGTCACCACAGCTTGTATAAATGCACCGAAGTGCTACGTAGAATTGCACCGAAGTGCCGCGTAGAATTGCACCGAAGTGCCGCGTAGAATTGTACCGTAGTGCCATATAAGATGTCCCTAAGGACCACGTAGAAAATTCCTTAAGAATCATATATATATGCTAAGGATCAAGTATGTGTCTCAAAAGACATCACACATGTTCCAAGGAATACATATATGCCCCAAAGGACCGCGTAGACCCTCTACTCTTGGCATGCCAACTATACCGATAGTTCTCATCTACATAACATGGGCTTTTCTCAACTTACATAATATATCACGTAGACATGTAAATTACTCACCTTCATCACATAGCTCATATAACTTTGCATACATATTCATTTAAACATACTACATAATACACATAGTATGAATTTCTATTACGTTTCATAATATGAGATGAATTATGCATCAATGTATTGAATCTAGACTTATTACAAGTCTAGAACTGGATACACTACGATAATCATGTTATGCATATGCACTCACCTATATTTCTTTGCCTTTCCCTCGATCGATCTTACTGGACAATTGTTCTGGAACTTGTATAGGCTCTGTATCTACATAGTAATACATTGATACTTATCAGTATACTAATTAATATATTCTAAACTATCATTTCTTAGTTAAAAGAAAAGTTATTTTCATCTCTTAATAAAGGTATGTATCGATGCACTCTACAGTGTATCGATGCACTCCTTAATGTGTGCATCGATGCACTACCAGTGCATCGGTACACAAATTACATTCAATGTTTTCTTTTTAAGGGGGTGTATCGATGCACTCCTTATGCATCGATGCACTAATTGCATTCGATGTTCATTTATTTGAGAGTGCATCGGTACACATTGAATGTGTATCGATGCACATAACTCAGGAATGTTATTTTTAGCACGAAATCCCTTCCTAATTCTCTCAACACTACATAATTCACCTCCTTTTATATCCCTAACTTGCATACACTTACTTAAACTAATTATTATCCATTCAATACCTCTAAAACTTAAAAATCCAATCCTCCATATAGAATTTAATAATCTCACTCAAATTCCAACATGTTCTAATTCCTATTCTAACACTTCCTATTCCTTAATTAGCTTGATGACAAGTCAAAACTCACTTCCAATTCTTATTATGAACTCTATTCCAAGATTTCACTTTTCTACTTCATTTCTTTAATTCTTCATATACTCCTCATCTTATGGTTTTAAAACAAATTAAACTTCCTTTAAGCTTAGCTATTGTCTAATGGTCATAAATCAACCATAAATTCATCAAGAAAATTACTAACAAGAGATCTTACCTTTAGCTTGGGTCTCACGTACGAAGAAGATGAAGAAGATGAGAACTCTGGAAACTTGTTTTTGGTTTCCTAGACTTCCACGTAAGTTAATATAATACTAGCCCAAATAATTATCTTGCTATGAAAAGACAATTTTGTCCTTCTAATCCTCCTTCTTTGTTAATTGATCCTACACAATATAGCTCAAATAAGTCATTAAACTTTTCAATCATTCTACTTTAATCACCAAATTCTGAAACTTTAATTTTTAATCACTAACCCGGTATGGAGGATGTTACAATTAAGGTTTGGGATTTGGGTATTGGTAATTTAAGAATTTAGGGGTTTGAGACAATTGCAAGGGTGATTAACGGTCATTGGGTTGTCAGCGATGGGTGGATAGTAGTTCGATGACGATGGTGATGGTTGGAAAAGACCGACGATGATAATGGAGGTTTGAAATTATAAATTTTTTAGGTTTGAAGTTTTTTAAAATTTTAGAAAACTTTTAAAATTAAAAAAAATTAATAATTTTTTATTTAAATGAAATTTTTAAAATTTTATTACACATGTCATAATTCAGTGATGGACTGAAAGGTTGCAATCGCACCACCTATAAATTTTGAATTTCCCTATAGTTTAGATATTTCTTCGTATTTTCTATTCACTAGTAAGGGATGTTTGGATTTTGTTCAACCAACTAATAACTCTCCAAAAGAGTTATTATTTAAGGTCTTTTTACTTAGGTTTATATATGTACTGTAGCATTTTAGGATCATATTCAGAGTTTTTTTAGTTAATTTTGCATTACATACATTGTTGGGAATGATTTGGTGTATTTTGGGTTAATTATGATATCTTGTTGTGAAATTACTACTCTAATGTTGTGACATTATCTGATGTTGCAAACGTTGCTGAGAGTTGCTATGAGGTAGGATTGTGGAACCGCTAATGTAGCAATTGCCGCGACAGCTGACACCTATTGACAGCTGTACAAAATTCTATTATGGAAAGTATTGAAAAGTATAAAGAAATCTTAATGAATTAATGCGGGTTCGAACTCTACTTTTTAGTTTTTAAATAATATGCAAAGAGACGACCACACTTAATCAAGGGAGAGCTTTTAAGGTTTTATTTTATTCTTTTCTTCTTCACGCAACAACCATGGTTGTTTAGGCAACTTTGGGGGAAAGTAGCAGTTGGACGTAAATATAAAGTCACAACACTGAGAGGATGGTGGCTGGTGATCAGCGAGAGCATCAAGAACAACAATAATGAGACAAATTCAAGAAAAGGGGTTTTATTTTTGCTTAGTTGAAATACTCTTAATTTGTGCTTATTTGTTAAACATTGAATGCTTGTTTTTTTTAAATATATTTTATGAAGTTCATGTATAATTAATTTTGTCCATTGATTCAATTGGTGTTTGTTTAGTTTTTATTAAGGCATTTAGTATAGAGATACATATTCTCTCAGTTCATTACATCGAGAGATGATTGTCATTGTCGGAGCATCAATGATTACGAGAGCAACGTTTCAATGTAGAGAGATCTAGCTGACTAATTGTCGTAGCATACTTAGTAAATTTGCATATGTGGATATACAGATATAGCACTAGCGTGAGTTAATACTAACCGCATTGATCTTTTACTGTGACATCGGTTAATTACATGATTGAGTTTAACTTTTCTATATCTTTTTCTTGAGCCAATCCACAACTTTCATTGTCACTGTTGTGATTCCTATCATCCATTCATCTCTTTATTCACATATTTAACTCCTCTTTTCAATCTTTTTTTATGCTTAAATTTGTGGGGGCATTTACTGAAGAAAAAATTTATCATTCTATTATTTCAGAGTTTTTACCAGATTTAAATAGTAAATTTTAATCAAATATGTTATCCTAAAGATAAAAACAAATTTTAATGATAAATATTCAAAGTTTTATATTCACCTTTTCTAAATGATTACAAATTATAATTAAAAAAATCTAAATTCAAAATATTACAAAAATTTGAATCTATTAAGTGTCTCAGTGATAAAAGAGGATTAAAAAAATCCAAATCCAAATATTACAAGAATGAACTCATTAAATGGTCTCGGTGATAAAAAAGGAAATTATTCTCTTTAAAAGACCGAGTTTACACAAACTCAAGTTCGACCAATTATGTTTATATAATATATATTTTGTCAATAACTAAAAAATTTGGAAAATATATCATCCATTATCATGAAAATATACACGCACTATCCATTATCGCCTCTAATCAAAATATTGTAAATTTAATATCACCATATGCATTCAAACTACTTGTTTACTATCATAATTACAGAAAATTTTCATGAATATATGTATTTGAACATACAATTTTGCTTATATATATATATATAGTCATTTCTACCATGTCTACGTTTGAAGGATTGAAAATCACTGTTTCAATAACATAGTCTCCATTTCGTTCTTCCTGGCAGTGTTTTTTAGTTTCTCCAGCGCAATGAGGCCGATTTGCCGCACTCTCTCTCTTGACAAACCAATGCTGAAGAATTAATAGAAAAAAAAAGGTTAAACCAAAGAGAAACTGTTGAATGAAAAATGAATGCAACCAAAATACGATGAACAGACTCACCGTTTACTGATGTCCTCCCATGTAAGACTCTCTTTTCCGAGACCGTGGTAAAGTCGTATAATCTCCCTCTCTCGTTCTCCGAGTGTTATATCGATGAGCCTGTTCACTTCATCCTGCAAATCTAATGTTCATGAAGATTACGAGTACAATGTAAAACAGAGTGATCAAGCTAAACGATGTAGAAAGTGGCACAGACATTATTATTAAGAGCCTTCAATCAGTGAATTAAACTATTCATTTTACCTTAAGTGCCCATTCATCTACTCCATGCCATGGATTGTTTTCTTCATGGTTATCTGCAATGTACTGAAAACATAAAACCGAAACTTGATTAAATAGTAAATAACCATCAAGGTTGAGTTGGTTCATATTAGTGGTATAACTTACACTGTGATGAGTCTCTCCTGGAAGACCGTTGATAGAGGGGAATGCATCGCGGTCGAGCGAGAAGACCTTACTCACTGCCTGCATCAAAGTAATTATAGATTGAGGATTGGAAAATGCATCTGCAATCGTTAACCCGGAATGTAACAGTACCTCGGTAGCATTACGAACTTTTTTCTGGGACATGTTCAGACTCTCAGCAATCCTCTGCAAGTAAAATAGAATCGATTAAGGCTCGGATGCAGATATTAAACATCGGTCGGACTAACTGTAATTCGTTGAAGCTTAATCCTTGTAATAGTAATGGATGCCACTTACATCAATAGTCGGCACAATTCCTTTCTCTTGGAGTCTAGATTTTGCATTTCGGATTAATCCTAATCGTTCATGCATGTGTGTTGGCAACCTTAATGTTCTCGAGTTCTCAACTAATGCTCTTGATACACCCTGAAGAAAAGGGTGAACTATGTTACATCTTGTACAATGAGATCAAAACAAGTTTCAGAGCGTACAGACACTAATATTCTCGCAGATATTCATATTCGACACTCACACCCGAGTCGTAGGAACTCGAACGAACATTACCTGACGTATCCACCAGTAAACGTAAGTTGAAATTTTATATCCCTTTGAAGAATCGAATTTTTCAATGCCACGCAATAGTCCAATCAAACCACCCTACACATAAATCAAACAAAAAAGTTCACGATGCAGTAAAACTGAACAATTGCATATGGTATTCAAAGGTGGATTACCTGAATAAGATCAGGCATTTCAGCTCCCATGTTATCGTATCTTTGAGCTATGGACATAACCAAACGAACATTGCTCATGGCCAGCTTGTCTCTTGCAAATGAACATTCAAGCAATATTGAACGTAACTCGGTACGAGAAATCTTCAAAGAAGTTGCAAGCTGTTCATCGGACGGCTTGCACCCGAGCCTCTCCTTCAATCTACAATTTAATCACAACAATTAGAACAGAATTTCATCACAACAATTACAACAATTCATCCAATACACATCAGATACTTATACCTAAACCTCTGATCCTCCAAGGAAAGCCCTGCTTGGATTTTCTTCGACAATCGAACAACTTCGGTATGGCTTAGCAGTTCTGCACTTACTACACCTTTCACATAACCTTTCGAACGGCTCCGAAGCAACTCTGGACTGATCAATGATCTTACCTGCTTGACATTAGGTTGCATCATCGGTTTATATTGGCTCAGAATTTTCCTCCTAGTACTTACTCTCCGTTGCCGAGCTGACACCCCGGAACAAGTAACAGGTACCTTCTCATCAGCTTTTCGAATCGGTGATTCGAACGAGAGAGTCCATTGCTTTTCGAGCATAGACTTCTGAAGCAAAAGAAGAGCCTCCACAGAGTAGTCAAGATCGTAGCTTTCTTCTTCCAAGTCATCGGATCCCCCGAACAAAGGGTCTGCAGTTGAAGCAATGGAGGCAGTATCCACATGCTCTTTAAGCGCTTTAATCGACTTACTACGTCGATCAGACGAAGGCAAGCTTTGGCTACAATTAGATGATTTCTTCGCAACTATTGTACTTTTTGTGGGAGCAGTCAGATAATAAGAAAATCCACCATAATCACCAGCATATGAGAGTTTCTCAGAGATATCAGAATAGCAAAATGAAGAACTCAATAACCTCTTTCCGGTGGTAAGCCCGATAACAGCAGCTGTTGCCATCATACTGCGTCTTCTCCAGTCAAAACAACCGTATATTCATTAGGCTACCATGTCCAACAAAAATTGACCTTTTGTAGGCTAAATCTCCTTTAAGACAATCTGAATCAGAAATGGGTAAAACAATGTTAGGATTTTCTCTCACAAAAACATATAAAAATGGAAAACTAACCCGTTCTTCTTCTTCTTTATTTCTATAACAAAATATTAAACTCATATTTCGAAGCTTGTAAAACATCAAATATTAATATATCTATCACTCATTCATGAATATCCGATAAATCAATGAAACCCAGAACTGCAAATTGTTTATACAAAGAAACTTAAAGGAGCTTACCTAAAAAAACTAGCAGATAAAAGCTTAAAGGAGGAGGAAATGGAACAACTAAGAAGACGACGTATGCTATAGTGTGGAAATTAGAACGTTTAGCAAAACAAGAGGCTGTAGGACTTGAAACTTGTCTTCCACAATTTTCTTACAAATTTCTCGATTTTATATTTTTAGAAAAAGGAAGCATAAAACCTTTTTTGGGATTAATAAAACCTTAAAAAATCTTAATTTTAGATATTTGTTTGGGTGATTAATAACTTTTGTTCCTACCTTCAAAACTTTATTTTGGTTTTTATTTTTATAATTTATGAAGGATGAAATATTAATATAAAAGATTAATCAATGAGGTTCTTGTGTATATAAAAAAAATTCTGTTGAGAGTCATATCTACCAAAATTATGCATGCAACACAAATCAATCAATCTAAATTAATTAGGAAAAAACCTAAAGAATCAAAAATATAAAACAATTATGTAATTTATTTTTTAAAAATATATTTTATAGCATGAAAATATAATTTATTTATTGTTTTATAGAATAATATTATCACCCAATAAATTCTAAATACATTAAACTGAATGTGTAATTGTACTTTATATTGATTTGCAAATTTAGCATAATAATACAACCATCAAAGCTATTTTGGGATACACGATTAGTAAAAAATTATTTAAGGATATGTAATATTTGTTATAATAAATTAGGGAAATATATGACGAATTTTAATAAAAAATTAAATTTTACAAAATTTATCATGTTCGTGAAAAATTTATAACTAAATATATGAAATTTTATAGATCTTAAATAATTTTTCACCATCCATATTTTCTTGATTTTTTCACCCGCAATATATTATTAATTTTACCATAATATTTATTTACTTTATGAAGAAAAGGAAAAATGGGATAAAAAATCCGTAGGGTCGAAGGTCTATAACAGATATGGTTGTTTCGAGTGGCTCATAGGTCTTCTCAGTTTTGCTTCTATTTTCTTTATCAGATTTTTTAATTTTTAATTTTTTATTTTAATATTTATTTATTGGGTTAGGCCACCAAACAAAACTAATTCAAATCTGATCAAAAATCGATGTGCTGTGGGTCCCACTTTCCACGTCGTCGCCTTCTCGACTAACTGTGTTATTCACTCGTTATTTTATCTTTTCTAGGGTATTTATGTTGTACTGCTATTTAATTTAAGATTAATTTAAAGTGATTTTTAATTTAAAATATTTTTTTATTTTAAAATTATAAAAATTATAATATTTTTTATTCTAATAAAAATAAGGGTAAGCGTTCGGTCGAGTAAATTTTTTTAAAGTTATTAGAGTTGATGAGTCCTATTTTACAACTCAAACTTTTGAATTTTTTTTAGTCGAGTCGAGTTTATAAAATTCGGGTAGAGTAAAGTCAATTTTTTTAGTTTCTGTTGTAATTGTATTTAATTTAATATTAATTTAAAGTGATTTTTAATTTAAAATGTTATTTTGTTTAATTTAAAAAGTTAATAATATTTTATGTTGTAATCAAAAGTAAAGGTGAGCATTCGATCGAATCAAGTAAAAATATTCGAGTTATTCAAGCTGACGAGTCCTATTTTATAACTCGAACTTGATTTGAAATTTTTGAGTCGAATCAAATTGAGTTGATTTTTCGAATTTATGTTTAAATTTAATTGTAAATATTTATAATATTGTGTTTGTATTTGATTATGATTTAAATGATTTTTTTATAATCATATACAATAGATATATATTTCTTCATATTTTTTTATATTTGATATACATATATCATTCAGAGTCGAGAGACTCAACTCAAACTTAAAAATCAATTAAATAATTACTAAAAAATTTGAGTTATTCGAGTTATATTTTATAAATCAATTTAAACTTCAAATATTTTATAGTCGAATCAAGTTTATAAAATTAAACTCGAAATCAATTCAAGTTTATAAATTTACTAAAAGTTCATTTTGAATATCCACTTTACGTACACCTAAGCCTCCCATATTGTTTGGTTTGCGAAGCTCCTCCCATCGAACTTAATTGAGGTCTCGCTTATTATCAGAGTGGCTCTAAATACTAATTAGTTGCACCATCTCATTGCAAAATCCCGTAGGAAGATAACAAGACTGCATAGCACAGGCAGGAATCGCCGAGAGTACCGATTTAACTCGGACCACACATCTGACCAAAGACAAAGCTCTTCCTTTCCAACCTGACAATCTCTCACGAGCTTGTTGGAGAAGATAATTATAGGTGCTTCTCGTTACCTTGCTATGAAGTAACGGCACTCTAAGATTAACTTGACTAATTGATATAAACTTGTGTGTCACATGCTAATTTTACTGGTGAATCTTCCAACGAGAACTTTTTATATATATAAATTTTAAATTCAAAACCTAATTAAATAATATCAAGCTGATTACAACTTGAATCAACTTTTATTAATCAATATTAAATTTATTAATTGATTAATCTAAATCATATAATATGAAGATATATTATAAAATTAATCCTTTGAAGTAACGCTTCATTCACTGCCAAAACCAAAATCCAGAACATTATTTGAGGTGCATAGCACCTCATCTTCTGACAACCAATAGTTGGTAAACCATTATTCTTATTCTAAATAGAATTAAAAATATTTTTAATTAATTTAGATTTTCAATAATTTTCGTATTACAAGTAAATAAATGAAATATTTATTTATTAAAATTGAAATCATGTTATTTAAAAACGTATTGATTGACTATAAATGTGTTAATAATATCATATTATTTATTACCAATTAAAAGTATCTGATATACACATTCCATAAAATATTAACGATTTAATTATAAATTCAAAATTAAAAAAAACATAATTTTGGAAATATAATTGATTGTTGATTTCGTCCTTGTTTGAAATTAAATGGTAAAAAATCTACAGATTCTTGAAAATTTTATTATCAACAATTAATTAAAATAATTTTATAATTACAATTATTGAGATAATTACTTTTTGTTTCCTTAATAAAAATCAATAACGGCTAATTTTATTATATTTTTATTTAACAACTCCCATTGTTTAACATAACAAACTATCTAATTTTTGTAATAATTCGTGGGAGAATAAAGGAAATTTTACTCTTAAAGGCGTTTGGTTTAGGTATATTGGATTATCGAGGAAATAGAATGTCATTCCCCCGTTGGGTTGACAAACATTCTCAATCTCGAAAATAAGTTATTCCCAACAGTGGTATTTTTAGGATATATTACCGGGAATGTGATTATCTCCGTTCCCTAAGGTATTGTTACATTCCCGGCGTTTTGGACTAAAATGTCTTTACTTTTTTTCAAAAATATCATCCTTCCGTCGTTAAATAAAAAAATTCTACGAATTTTAAAAAATAAATTTATCCTTAAACTATTTTAGATTTACAAAAAAAATTCATAATTAGAATTTTATATAAAGTTCATGGGTTAAAATAAAATTTTACCCTTTCATTAAACCTATTTATCTTTTTAATTTTGTAAAAAAATTAAATAAACTTTATGAATTTAAATTTTTTAAAGAAAATATATAAATTAACTATAGTAAAATTGTCAACACACCTTTTCATCCGAGTACAACACTCTCAACAACCCCGATTTAGTGGATTCAGAAAACAAACATAACGTTAAAGTTTTACTAGGATTCAAACTCCTAAAAAATTTTAAAAAACAAATTTATCCTTAAACTATTTTAGATTTACAAAAAATCCATAATTAGAATTTTATATGAAGTTCATGGGTTAAAATAAAATTTTACCCTTTCATTAAACCTATTTATCTTTTCAATTTTGTAAAAAAATTAAATAAATTTTATGAATTTAAATTTTTTAAAGAAAATATATAAATTAACTATAGTAAAATTGTCAACACACATTTTCGTCCGAGTACAAAACTCTCAACAACCCAGATTTAGTGGATTCAGAAAACAAACATAACGTTAAAGTTTTACTATTATTCAAACTCCTAAAAATATGATAATTTTACTATGATTCAAGCTCCTAAAAATAGGATAAAGTTTTACTAAGATTCAAACTCCTAAAAATAGGATCCATAAGCATTATAAATAGCAATTGTAACTCACTATTGTAACACACAATTTATAGACGAAATACGAACAGAAAATTTAGAGTAATCAAAGCATTTTTTTTGCAAAGTTTTGAAGGCAACAAAGATAAAAAAAACCTTACCTTTTCGGTTGTTAAACTTGCAAGTGTCGTTTGTTTCTTGCTTTCGATTTGTAAAACCACAAAAACTCAAAATGCCGATGTCCGGAGGGGATTTTTTCGAAACTAACTTTTTAGATCTACAGAACCCCAAGGTTATTTTTTGAAAATCGTTCGGACATTTGAAAAGAGGAGATGAAGAGCTATAAAAAGTTTAATTTTTATATTTTTTTTCTTACTATTATTATTATATATACTTCATTATCATTATTATATTCTATATTTATTTTTTATTTTATTTTATTTATTTATTATTATTATTTAAAACATTTTATTTATATACATATTCATTATATATTTTATCTTATTTTATATAATTTCTCTATCATTATTATATTTTTTCTCTCTATTATTTATCTATATGTATTATTATTATTATAGTATATATATTCCATTTATTTTTTATCTATTACAAATATTATATTTATTATTACATATATACTTATATTTTATTTATTATTCTTATACATTTCTATTTTTATTTTCTTTTATTACTCTTTACTTATTGTTTTTATTATTATTAGTATTATTATTATTATTATTCTATTTTATTTATTTCTATTTATCTTTTTTTCCTCTATTTTATTTTTATTTTTATTCCTTATATTTATTTTTTTATCTTCTTTACATTTTATTTATTTATTTGTATTTTCTTCTTATTTTTTATTTACCTGTTTATTATGTATATATTATTATCATTATTATTTTTTTCCTCATTTTATTTTTTTTATCGTATTCATTTTTATCTTCACTCTTTTTTTATTCTTTATTTCGGTCATTTTTTATTTTCTTTATTCTATTTATTTTCATTTTTTTCTAACACGTTTCTTGACTCTCTTAAGGGTAC